CCAACATGCTCGCTTCTCTCCAGAGTCTTTCCCAACTAAGACAACTCAAACAAATCCGTATTTACGTTACAGATTTACATTTTTACAGTCGGGGGGGGATGGTGAGGTGGGGCGGGGATTGATCCTCAGAGTCTACTGAGTTCCCTCATTGGTAGTACTGACCACGCATGGGGAGACCGTGTCACTCCTAAGGTTTCTCACTGAGAATATCTTTCAGTGCTTATTTTCAAACCTTGGCAACTTGGGTAAGAGTTGCCTATTGTTACTATTATTAGTAGTAGTAGTAGTAGTATATAATACTAATATTACTACCACTACAACTACTACTGTTACTTCTACTGTTAAGGCATGGTTGCAAAGAAGGATAGCTTCTAAAAGAGGCTGCAAACTGCACGGCTCCTCTTCCAGCTTTTTATCTATATATTGCCATTCTTTTGTTTAAGGAAAGGTTTCTGTACATAAACCTTGCACAAAAGATTTAAGTAATTAGTGATGGATTCAGGCAATGCAGCCATTCAAATATGGCTGTCCTCTGATCTAGAACGAGCTGATCAAACACCAGTAAGCTAATTATTTCAGACACTGTACAGTAATCACCAAGCCCAAATGCGAGCATTTACAATCAAAACAGATGTAATTTGCTGCACTAGAAGACAGTCTCGTGATCTATAAATGTCAAAACTAATACATATAATGCATAAGCTTACAATAGAAACTTAAACTTCTGATGCCCACTGCCAGGAGATATCAGTGTGGCCCTTTTCAGCTCTTTGAGACAATAACCAGTCTAGTGTACTAATTCATAAACTCAAAGAAGCAGCAGTTTTCATTTGAAATATAACCTGTGAAAAAGCACAAGAGAAATACAGCAGTATAGGTATTTTGCAGATGATAAGTGCTCAGCTCTGTTCTCAGTGAAATAGAGGATTAGTTTTGTGCTATCTCAGGGGGACCAGGCTTGCACCTGTATTGACTGGGGACCTACAGCTCCGTTCTGTATTCCTCCTTCCCTCAACTCCCAAGCCTTAAAAATAGTGAGAATACTTTCCAAATGAGCAGTCCAAGCACACTAATCTCATTCTTCATCTTGAAATATTCAAGAACTGCTTTTGAAAAATATTTTAGATCACGATGCTGGAGAATCATTAGGGCTTTTTCCCCGAAAAAATCAACTTTAAAGTAGATACATAAAGAACCTCACCACAGTATTTTCCATTTAGGATACATTCTTTTGGCCCTTCTTAAAAAATCAAACAAGTTAAATGTCTCTCAGTGCTTCTCTTCCTTGGTCTGGTAAGCAAGCGGGTGACACAGGTAGCTCCTAAGTAAATGCTGCTTTGCCATAGCTGAGGGTACACACAGAGGCTACTAAGAAGTTTCACAGAACAACATACTATGGGCTTTATCTAGCAACTCCTACTCAAATGAGTAGCCTTTACTCACATTAAAACAGCACTGAAATTAATGGGATTGAAAGAGTATGGAAGTGTCATGCAAACAGCAGTCTTTGTGGTCTTGCCCTAAACAAGCACTCCAGAAAGCAAGAAAGCAAGACTGATAATGATGATTGATAAGTATTTCTTAATATATATATGTGTACTGGAGAAACGGACAGGGTCCCAGTATTTCGAAAATGAGGTTTTTAACATCCCTGTCAGAATTACTGATTAATACTAAAGCACTACTACATTTATTGTTGCTTTTGAAGTGGAAGTCCTCACTGACTTCAACAGGGAATAAAGCTTAAAAGCATATGCCTCCTCCACATGAAAGGGTATTTTTGTTGTTTCTTAATACTCAATCACTTTATAAAAGAAAGCAATACGAAAATGTTGCCATTACTCCACATTATTAAAAATTTCAAATGTTTAAATACGAAGCTAAAAAATAATTGTTTTTAGTTACAGCATACACCTATTACAGGAAAACACAGCATTTTTCCATGTTTCCTTATGTTTTATAGCTTGCATTCATGCTCTGATATATTACGAAGTGATTAAATCCACTAAGTACTGAATAATCTAATCTTTTTTCTTTTAGTTCTCCTGAAGAAAAACTGTAATTTTTATTATTACAGTGAGGATGTGGTGTAGTAAAAATTTTCAAGGACTTTGGGGGAATTAATCGAGCACTTGCTTAATCTTACAGACATGGGTTGAATTTTGCAGTTCTTAGTTACACAAAAGGTGTTGAGTGGGAGTTTTGTCAAGCAGTCAGGATCTCAGCCACTAATAACCTCTCAGTTATTTTCTTTTTCTCATTAGCAGTCTAACAGCTAACAGACTAATCTGAAGCTGCTACAGGATGCAAGATGAATTGCAGCACATAAAGCTTACCCTATGAAAACAGGTGAAAAATTGCAGGCAGCATCTCTCACACAGTACCTGGGGCGAGCTCCTGAGCACACCAAGCCACAGTGGCTCCAGCAGAGTGCTGTCACTTGGGTCTGTCCCTAAAATTAGCTCACAGAAATTCAAACAGAGGTGTTTTGAGAAAGTCA